AGCATATGGAATCCAGTTATGGGACAGTATTTCTCATTATTTTTCTTACAGTTTTGGTAACATTTTTGTACTTTCCTGGTTCTGTAAAACATAACATAAAACAAAAAAACACATAAATCCGTTTAAAGATTTAAGAGAATTAATGGATATCTAATTCTACTTTACTCATTACAGGCTTCTAGACCAGAGAATTGGTTTATTAATTCACATTTCAAAACATAACTGTGTTTTTTGTTTATGTACATGTCAAAGGAATTCTATATAACAGGGTTTTACTTACAATGCAATACTAAGGGTGCTTTGAAATAATGAACTATTTTAGATTGATTAGTGTATTGACTATTAAGTCACACCCCAAATTAATGTCCATTAGCATAATAAGACTTCTAAAACTAAATCTAAAAACACCTTTTTGTGTTGTAGGAAAATATCATTTAATCCTGTATTTTTAAGATAGGGTGTTCAGATACAAAACATGTTGTGGCCTAAACAGATCCTTTAGAGAAAAAATGTGGAAATTCAGTTAAAAAATGAAATTAGCTTGTTGTGGGGCAAACAGACATTGTTTATTATTGTGATTCTGGAAACAAAGGCACGTTAAGTTCTGTCACACTTAAAATCAATGTGTGACAGAACCTGAAATTCCTTTCTGCAACATTGAAATCATGGAATGCTTGACCTTTCCTTGCTTGTGAAAGGACAAGCTTTGAATCTAACGTATAAAAGCAAATTATTTTTGGTCTTCAGTATTCTTCCTTGTAAGTAAGCTGAAATAGGGTTAAAAAAAGATAGTTTACTGTAAACATTATTTAGTTGGCTGCAATGATTTTCTACTTAATTACAAAGAGCTCCAGAAATAGATGTAGATCATTGAGTGAACTTATTTGTGATCATCAACGCTGATAATGAGATCATTGTCGAGAAAAGGTAACTGACGTTGCTTTAACCTGAACGTGTTTGTTTTAATTTGGCATTATTCCTGTTCTAGGTGAAATAGCTGCATGTCTGTTAAACTTGCTGCCTCACAGCTCTCACATGTATTTCCCTTCCTTGTGCGGTCTTCCTCTGAGTACTCTGGTTTCCTCTCAGCTCCCTGAAGACATGCAGACTTTTCCCTAGTGCCCTATAATGTACTGGTGTGCTGTTCAGTTGAGTCCTTTTGGTCTCATCCTGAACCCCTATTGTTCTGGAAAAAGCAATGTTGTTCTCAAGGCCGAAAATGGATAAGTACCCTTCTAATAATGGATTATTTCTGGTCTCCTGAGCAGGTGCTAAAGTGTTATAAGCCCAAAATCAGGAGGTCTGGCATAATTGCCATGTTACCATATTATTCAGTGTAATTTAAATGTCAAAGTGCCTACGTTGAAGGACTGTTACGTGTTTTCAGCAAGCAGACAGTGGAGGACATTGTTCATAGCGCAGAAGCAGCGTGCGCTGACGTTCAAAACCTCCTTTAGGTTTAACTAAAAAGAAAATAGCAACCTGTCACTAAGGCTGATGTCAGAAAGTTATTTTCAGTTCAACTATGGCTCCTTTAATTTAAAGACCAGACATCAGGATCAGGTCGGAGGAGACAAAGGACCTACTATTGGTAAGGTTAAGTAAAGTCCATCTTCAGGCAACACCTGTTCATCAGTGAAAGGCATCTAGAAGCCCTTGAATTGAAAATAAAATGACTTTTAAGTGTCGACTGAAAAATACTCTGCGGAGAATCTGCCTGAAAAAAATCAATTAATAAATTAAAGCATTTGTTTGACTAGATTTTGTTTCTTTCTACTTTAAACTACATAATGAAATTGCAGAAGTCTGAACACTTTTTACCAATTACTTGCTCTAAAACAATTTGGGAAATGATAGATCGTATTTTAGGGAAGGCCAGGGCGCAGAGGGAGCCGCGGTCGCGCTGGGCCGGGTCACCGTGTTCTGCGGGACATGTCCAGCCGAGCAGCCCAAAGCGGTTCAGGGATTCATGAAGCAGATTCCCTTCTCTGACTAACGCACTGTGAAATACACATGTAGATCAGTCTGCTTGGTATTGCGCTGTGCCGCGATTTGAATAACAATTCTCTTTGAAGTTGGAAACATATCTCATTTATTTACTATACAGTATGTATTTTTTATCCGTCTTGAGAGATATTTGTGGAAATAAAAACACATATAATAAATAATAATTCAAAGCTTTACTATGACAGCTTTTCCAATAAAAAATTCCTTTTGTCCCCCCCTCCGCGTCTTCTTAAGCCAGATGATTGCAATTTCGTGTACATTCATATAGGGTATGGGGAGGAGGCTGTGACAGCGACGTAGCAGATGGTAACCCTCGTTTACAATGTCTGGTGTGGATTGGGGACAATGAATCTCTCACAGTTCTGATTATTGAGAGGATTTTATTCCGAAGACAGCTGGCAGGCAGCCTCCCCCACATCACCCTCTTCTTGCACATACTTCACGGCCATTGGCATTGTGCATTAGTTAAATATTTAAAAGACACCTGGGAGCACACGGGCCTTTTACAGAAATAAAAAAAAAATTCACACAATGTTTCGTGTGTGGGTCATTTACAGCTCCTACTGCTGAATTTCTTTATTGAAGTTGAACACTCCAAAATTGTTGCGACTCTTCGCCTTTACATTTCACAACACCTAGGCTGTGTAGAGTATGCATTTGAATCGTTTTCTCTGACCGCTTTACACGTTTTTCAAAGACGGCGCACAAAGAAACCGTGTACAGCAAAAGCCTTCGGGCAACTTTAGAGACGTTATGGGCGAATGATGAAAACGTAATTCTCACAAATCCATTGCCTCTGTTCATTGTGTGTACGATTAAAAAAAAAGTTTTTTTATTTCGAGAGTCATTTTTTGTTAAAAAAGATAATAAAAGTGTTTTATCAAATAAAAACAAGTTTAAACATGATCAGTTAACCTTCACCTGCGCTCCTTCCTCATCTTGCTAACAAAGGAGGTGAAGAGTTGGGCAATTACACCAGCTACATTGCTATCAGGGAATATTTAAGTTTTACCCGTTCTGGTACAGACTGATTCTCAGAAAAGCTCAAGTTTTAATGTATGCCCCACAATATTGTAAACAAACACATCCTGTACCATTTCAGACGTAAATAGTAACCAAATAACTAACCAAACCAGGTAAGATTGATCATTTTTTCTGTAATGGAATAACTCAGTTGAGTATTGGTATCATGTTCAACATATTTAATCTAGTAGCTCACCAATAGTGTTTTATTTTATTTTTATGGATTACCTAGAAGTTTATTTTTAAGGATTTGGGAAACGTGCAAGAGAGAGATAACGCGCGCTGTATTATCTGCACGCCCACTAGAGGGGTTTAGTGGGAACTGCAGATGTTTTCTGCCTCTGTGGCACGATTTAGCGCTGTGGATCGCGGCAAAGCTGCCCTCTGCCTTAAACATCATACACAATGCCTCCTAATTCGATCGTTTGATCTACGATTGTGCCGTTAAAACATGTTTTTAATTAAAACTAAATTTAAAGTGTTGGAGTGTCAATGAAGTCGCCCCACCACAGATCTGGACAAACAGGGATTCCTAAATAATTCGTTGGTGCAGTTGAAACCAGCGTTTATGCTCCTTTGGGTTCTGAAAAAGAACGCGGAGAGTCTGCTGAAATGTGTGTCTAAAATTAGCACCTTTTGACTTAAGCGTAATATAATCCTTGAAATGGGGGTGAATTGTAATGATAAATTGTGCATCTTTGTGCAATCCCATTATTTATTTCTGTTGACCCAATATAACCCAATAATTAATGTCTTTAAATCTGTATGTACTACATATGTGTTTCTCAAATGTTTCATGTGATGAGTGTGAACAGAAAGGTAACAGGTCTGCGATGAATCTTCATTCTACATAATTTAAGAATTCAGTGATTTGCAAGCTCTAAGGATCTTCATAATAGCGGTGCAAATTGTGTTAAAAATAATGTAGATACACATGCATATAAAGTACACACAAATATGAGCTTTATTTTAGCTTTATAGTTAATAATGAAAACATTTAACAACTAAGTGTCCACATTTTCATAAACAACAGCTTCATAAAAAAAACAACTATTGAAAACAAAAGATGTATTTAAAAGAAAATGTGGAAGATACTGTCTCCAAAATTTGTTTAGTCAACAAAATTAAAATAGACTTATGAAAGGTTTGTTAGTATTTTTGTTCAGGACTGTTGAAATATTAAAGTCTACATCCAAGCGTTCATAGCATTAACTGTGTTGTTTTGCTGACGTGTTTTAAAATAGTCAACTCAGTACATATTTGTGCAGTACCAGGATGGACATACAGTATACTTCAATAGCCAAGTACTGTTCTATAGTTATGTATTAGGGGAGCACTAAATAACTTAATAAACATCAGTTTTTATATCTAAGGATTTTCTGTCTTTTTTAACCTTTTAAGATTCATTTGTTCTTTAACCCGCTCTTCACCTTTTAAAACTATTAACACAGTCGCGAATATTAAGTCTAGCTATTATTTTCAGAAAATATGTGCACTGTGTTAACTTTCACCTGATTTTTTTTTTCAAATGATGAGAAGACGCATCTCTGTCCATGGTTTAATAGATTCGAAACAGTTTTATCTTTACCATTAATTCATACATGCACACGTCAAGAACAGATAATCCACCTCATGATTTCAAAAGGAGAAGATCTCCCATCCCTCAGCAGACACAGAAAGCAATTAATAGCTCTTACCATCTACTAAAACAAAACAATTTAATCCACTGTCACTGTTTTGCTATAGTGTTCTGTTCGCAGCAACACTATAAAAATTAAACAGTACCAAAGGCTCCTTTAAAATAACGAGTTCATAAATAAAATATTGCTCATTTGGGTTGATGTCTCAGTGATTATTATAGTATTTCGACAAATGTTCATCTCAGGGCTTGGCGCTATTCTGCGAACTGTGCTTTCCCAGTTCCACTGCGGTCTCAGGTTCTGCTCGTCGACTTTCAGTTCAACCATGATGCTGCTGGTGTAGGAGTGACATCACTCCCCTCAGAAGAACTTCTAATATCTCAAAAACCGAAGCAGCACTAACACCACTTTTAACGACACAAACGAATGAATCGGGGCTCATTGTTCGAGCTGTTTGTATGGGGGGGTTGGCAGCTTCAACGAGCTGCTGTAGTCTGTTATTGCTTTTGATCCCAGAGGAACCTGGAGCTCTCGCATTCCGATCATTCCAGCCTCTGTGAACAATCAGCCCTCAGTTATTTATTAGCGCACTGAGCTCTTAAACTGGCTCAGTCTACGCCAGGCAAATCCACAGAGCGTAACTACACTTATTAACAGTGGAATACATACACATGGGCGAACACGCACGTATCTGAACTTACTTTCAATGAACAGATACAGGATTACTTTCAATAATCCGGAATTTAATGAACAGAATCTACACGCGTCTCCCTTCTGCTATGCATTTAATGGAACTGTGAAAGGGTGAGTTTTATTTTTATCGTCTTTCTCTTATTTCACCGGTCACTTGCGATCTTCTCTAATTTTTGTTCAGTGGTAAAACTCATTTTTAGATTTTAACTTATGTATAGCGTTTCTGTGTATCGATTTTAAATCGAACGTTATTATTTAAGCAAGAAGAACTTATTTGAGTGATTTTAGTCTCGTATTTGATGCGAATAGCTAACCTAAAGTATCCAAAGGCATGGGAAGATTGGCATACATGTTATATTGCAATAAATACATCTATGAGGGCCATAAAGACTGTACCATCAGTATTGTCTCCCAAAACTAAATGCGGAGACTATTGTGTCGGTTCATGTTTAATATTTAGCGATTTGAGATTCGAGACGTGAATCCGGGGAAGGTTCGGAGCTCATCTGGATGTTTGCTGGGTCGGTCCTTTACCCGATTAGACTCACTTTGAAGTCTCAGTGAAATAAACCCTTTGCATTCTCAGGAGTAAAACACTTGTTCGTTCGGCATGGGATGTTTTACAGACAATAAAAGTGGGGAATTTTTTTTTTTCCATAAACACTGCGGGTGTAAAGGCGAATTAGATTTACCATAATTGCGTTCAGTACAGTGCCTCACGCTGTGAAATTGAATAAAAAACGCGTGTTTTCGAAAGAACAAAATATGCAAGCGCTGGAAATATTAGGAGTCTTTCTGGTATTTTGTCTAAACGTACAGATGTGACTGGCGACTACACTGCCCCTTTCCTTCTTCTTTTGTCGTGTTCGTTTTCCAGACTTCGGATTTTATCAAGTCGTATAGTTCGCACATTACAGCAGCACAGTAAGTTATGTAGAAACAGAGCGGCGCCTGCCGCAGGAAGCTGTGTAATGGACAGACCAGTGCCAAGACTTCCTCTTTAACAACTGCCTCCTTTGTCAAAGTGCTTTAGTATTTCAAATCTCTGTATTGATATGTTAACTATATATGTATTTTAATGTAATGAGCTGGAAATCCCAAATAAATTGTTTAAACTAGAATTGGCTGGTGGAGCCTTGAAGGGAAAGATCTCCACGTGAAAGGTTGTTTCCCACTTCTAGAGAGCTTTTACCAGTGGGGCTTTCTTGCCTTCTGAAATGTCAAACAAGTTACCTTCTCCTTTCAAGTACGCAATTCTAGTAATTATCGACACCTTCGTTTCAGTAGAAAGGTGAGGAGGATACGTTTCCCGAGTATAGTGTACGTGAATACTGGGATAAAACAGGTCTTGGGGAGTTTTTTAAAAACATTTTGCCTGGCCACGGAATACGCATAAAGCTGGCTGGGTGCTAGAGGGCTATTTCAGTGATATTGAGGTGCAAACGTGCTGTTGCTATGGCGATGCTCTCTGAGAGGCAGACCACGCAGAGCCGCAGAGCCACAGAGACATGACTGGTATGTGCCCTGTTTTTGTATCGGGGGTCCATGTGGCCAAGGGAAAGAGATTCCACAGTTTCACAAAGCACTGCTTGGCTTAGTTTCGCAGCTGGCTCTCCTTATTTCCCTGATCTAAAATCATCTGGGGGGAGAATGAGCGCAATGTGCATACCTTTACAAAATAAGATACAGAAAACCCAAAATTGGAACCCGATGTTTATTGCATTTCAAGGGACACATGCCTTTCTGTTGAAACATATGTGCCTCAAATTATAGCTGGCCTCTAGCCAAGCTAACAAATTACTCAGAATAAAGGTCCCTCTAGCTTTACTATCTTTATTATTGGTATTGATGTTATTTCATATTAAATCATACTTATCAACCATTCTATAGAAATCTCATCTAGTCTGTAACTAAAATATTTTGGTTACAGCTAGGCCCAGCTACGCTCTTCCAATTTTTTTTTCTACTACAAAATTTGTTGGATATACCAAGGGATAATTGAATATCTTGCAATGTTTTATTTAGTAAGGCCCAAAGGCTTCTTTTTCATAGATTTGTCCTTTTGCTTTTCCTCCCAGACCTGAGGCTACTTCTCCGATTCGTCCCCGGCCCTAACTCGCCTCGCCAAGCCAGCATCCGCGATGCGGACGGCGGAAGACTCGTCCAGCACGGTCCTGCACCGGCTGATCCAGGAGCAGCTGCGCTACGGGAACCTCACGGACACGCGCGCTCTGCTGGCCATCCAGCAGCAGGCCCTGCGGGGGGCGGGCCCCGGGAGCCCCCGCTCCTCCGCGGAGAGCCTGAACCAGGAGGAGTCCCAGTTTCTCCAGCTGTCGGCGCGCCAGGAGCCCCAGGGGCAGGAGCACCAGGGGGACTGCCACCACTCGGAGAGCTCCCTGCACCAGCTCTACCAGCTCCACGGAGAGGAGCTGCCCACCTACGAAGAGGCCAAGGCCCAGTCGCAGTACCTGGCGTCCCAGAGGGGCCAGGGGGATGCCTGCGCTGTGATGCTGGACGACGTCCTGCAGGACGATGGTCTGAGAGACCTCAAGCGGGGGCACGTCCGGTCTCTCAGCGAGAGGCTGCTGCAGCTCTCGTTGGAGAGGAACGGCGCGAAAAACCAAATGGCTATGAGCTCCTCGCACAGCTATCCGCAGCTCTCCAAGCATCACGTCCACCACGCCCCAAGCGCCCAGCAGCACCCTGCTGAGCAGAGAGGCCCCCCACCCGAATATCCGTTTCTGGTCAAGCCTCCGGGATATATGGTTAGCCATTCCCAGGAGCATGGACATTACAACACGCCACCTCCCCCTTTCTATTCGCAGTCTCACAGGTAAGTCACACCTGTGGGCTTTACCGTAGCAGTTGTAATTAATTATAATTAATTAATTATTATAATTTCTAATTGCTTACACTTATATGGCGCTTTTCTGGACACTCCACTCAAAGCGCTTTACAGGTAATGGGGACTCCCCTCCACCACCACCAATGTGCAGCATCCACCTGGATGATGCGACAGCAGCCATACATCAGCTATCAGTGGGGAGGAGAGGAGAGTAATGGAGCCAATTCATAGGGGGGGGTCATAGTCTTTGAATTGAACCATTTGGGTTTTTTTTTATCTAACAATGAACTATTTTATGGTCTATGGGAAGAAATGGAGCCAATGAGAACTTTATATCCCCTGTAGCCACATACTCATTTTCTCATCTCAAAGGGTTTTTGTAATGCACCTGGGAAATGTTTTTGAGTATTCAAATCACTTGAAGTGGAACCACTGCAAACATGTTGTTGCATATCTGTATTCTTCATGATAGACAAGTAGAAATCTTCACAAGAAACTTCTGGATTTCCTTTTGGCTGGTGGCACACTTAAGGAATGTTACACTAGTTTCCTCAGCATTGATCCAGCAAGCAAAGTGTGTTGGCACTTATCTTAGCTGGATAAGTCTGAGAACAAGGCCATTTTTTACTGCGTGTGTCATTATGACTAACCTGCCTTTACAAGCAGAGCAAGAAATTGTCTGACAGTGACGTAAACCTAACAAAATATATTCATTTACATATAACAAAAGATATTCATATGCCATCTATTTTTTTCCTAATGAAATTGTCTAATCTAAACTCACTGCTGACATCACTGCGGGCGTGATTGTACCTGCTCTGTGGCTTCTGCCATTGGCATGAATTGGTGTTTGATTGCCCTAATGTGATGAGGCACCAAGAGAAAATGTAACCCATCATACTTGTATTGTATTTTTGTGTGTGTATGTGGGTTGGATGGGAGTGTGACGTGAACCTGCTGATCTTACTACTGTGGGCTGCAACTCGTGGATATGTAGAGGAGAGAATTAAATCAACCTTTCTCTTTCCTGTAGGCATCTACAGACTCAGCCACAGGTGTTCCGCCACAGTCCTTTATCTACACTGACCCCTGCAGGTGTGGAGGCCTTCATGGCCGCTCACAATGTCTCTACAAACAGCCATGTAGCCCAGATGGAAATGCTGATGAAGGAAAATGAGATGTTGAGGCGGAATCTAGAAGGCTACAGTGAGAAGGCCGCCAGGATCCAAAAGGTATAGAGGTTTGAGACCTTTCAATGAGACTTAAACACTGAGTCTTCAACCTGTTTTTTTCAAAGCAAGTCAATGCAGGTCGCAATATTTCTATAAATGAATATACCGTGATGGAAATGTGACTGCTGGTGATTCTGTTAAGAGTCAGGAGTTTCTTCCGATTTTGCCAGAAGGAAAATCCCAATCAGGAACTCATTAAACATAATATGAGAAACCACATGAAGCCCCAAAAGAGAGACTTAATGTCATGTTTATGGAAACGAAATTGGTTTATTTCAGTATTTTGTGTGAAGTCTTTGACTTCAGCGCATTTGTGTGCTTTATGACGGGTGTGGATTTCAGAAATTAAATGTGCGGCCTTTGCCAATACTGAATACCAGAGAGATTAACTCTGAAGCCACGCTGGAATGTGCGCAGTGGAAGGATCACAGTGTTTATGACTTGTCTCCTTTGGCACATGTTAAAGCCTTTATGTAAAGTAATAAGAGATACAAAATATCCTAAAAAGACAGAGCTGCTTCTATTGTAAAATCTTTACAATAGACACTGGTACCTGTAGAGGGAGAAAGACATTCTCCCTTAGTTTATAACCTTCAGAAGACAATGATTTGTAAAGTATTAGGACATACGTGTGTGTGTGTATATATAAATATATAAATGAAATAATTTGTATTACACAGTTGTTAAACTCAGTGCTTCAGCCCCTTAAAGGTCTAAGATCATAAGGCGTTTTTACACTTATAGCTCTCTCAGATCACTTTTTCCAATCTTCTTCCGTCTGTCGGGATCATAATTCCAGGGCTTGCATGAATCCTGAACTTCCAGCAGAGTCCAGGAGGTATGGCATCTCAAAAGCTTCTGCCACAGTGAATGCCAAGCTCTTCCAGTGCACATAAGATTAGCTCCTCCAGATATGTTCTGTAACTACTAGGGAAGAGACGTTTTAAGAATTCAGCATCTCTGTGTAGGGAGCCTCGGTTAAAAGCAGTGTCTGTATTTGAGGGATGGCAAACAGCTGTTGCCTAGGAGACTGGCTGTTTGACTACAAAAAGGGAAAGGCGGCCCAGTGTATAAACTAGACTTTTGTCAGGACCTCTGGCAAATAAGTGCATGTGCTTGGAGTGCCTGCAGATGTCACATCTAATCCAAAAGATGTCAGACTGCAGTGAAGGGTTTCTGACCTTGCCACAGCTGATGAGACTTAGGAGAAAGCAGCAGGCTGCAGAGAACAGTTGCTATTTCAGACTGAAAGGCTTCTTTCACTTTCACCCCTACTACTTGCATACGTGTTGCTTCTTGTTCATTCTTCTTTTATAACAATCCGACTTGGGCTCAGAGATCCCATTGTGAATTGACGGGACAGTTTGAGGTTTGGAAAAAGCTGAAAGAGTCTTCAGACCTAGTTAAAAATAATCTTTCATCATGCTTCTAGAATTGGGGAGTTCCTTGTGGTCCCTTTGGGTATTTAGCTTTTTTTAACAAGTCTTTATGAAACTACTGGAATTTTGTTTACAGCCTCTGTAAAGTGTGCATGTCATCAGCAGTTTTTCACATTCCATCGTTTCATTTTTATTTAGTGTGACTTCATGGAGAGGAGAGCTTTTGAATAACTTAGTTTATGGGGAAAAAAGGATTACGAAAAGTTCCATTTCTAGCATTTCCCGTGTACAGCCTTCTGAAGAGTTTTCATTGTATGTTCTGTGTTGATGAATGATCTTTAAAAACATTTAACCCTGATGATGTTCATTAAGCGAGTGAATGTACTTTTCTTCGATTCCCCATATCCATATCACATTTTCTTATCTGCTCTGGACTGCTTCTCATATCTTTAAGTAGCAGTGTGTACGAGCATGACATTCTCTAGCTCTGACAATATGCATCTCAGTTTCTGGTTTTGCTTTCTCACATGAAAAGAATGATAATTACAACCTCAGAAATTACACAACAGGGCTCTCTACTACTGTGGAGTAAATGTGCCCAAACAGATATGTCTGAGTAATGTTCCTGCTGTGGCTGCTTCTATGGTTTTAACTGCCAGCTCTTTTCTCTGCCTCACTGCGCTGGCATGTTGCCTATTCAAAAGAACACCTGGAACTGATGTCTTTGCTGTTAGGAATGTTGATTCAAGACACCCTTTAGAATAATCTGCACCACAATTGTTCATTTGTGGACACGTTAGAAAAGTGCAGATAGTGACTTTTGACATTGAACCTGAAATGGAAAAATGCGAGGATCATGCTTGTTTGTTCAGCAGGTACTTAGGTGTGTGAAGAGGTCAGTTAACTAAAACTGTTGTCCGTTTTTATGATTACTTCATGAGAATTTTGGAGTTTGACGTGTATATTTGGGAACCTTTTATTTTTCCTCTCCAGCTTGAGATGGAAATCCAGAGGATATCTGAAGCTTATGAGACACTCATGAAGGGTTCTGCTAAACGCGAGGCTCTGGAAAAAACCATGAGAAACAAGTTGGAAGGAGAGATCAAAAGGTTACATGATTTTAACCGGGACCTAAGAGGTAAGAATTAAAGTAGATGTTAAAATGTCCCACTTGCATGGTTCTTTACCTTGCACTTCAAAGATGTATGCTTATTGAGATCCAGTTTGTCAGCTTGAAACATCTAACAAATCAAGTAACTGTGAGTGATGTAAAAGTTTAGGGACTAGTCATGTGTTGCCCTTTTGAAACTGGGATCCTCACTGAAAAACAAATGTTTATGCTTCTAAAGTAAACCACAAATCCCCTAACCCCTAATCTTTGCTTTATTTGAGACATTTAGCACTTAAACCATGATCAGCCCATGATCCTGTTGTAAGTGCTATAAGAGTATCTAGAGACTTTACTAAAGAAAAATACTGACCAGCTGCTTTCTTTGACTGTTTTTAGACCGCCTGGAAACAGCTAGCAAACAGCTGGCTGCAAAGGAAGCTGCTTCTTCAGACCAAAACCAAGATGTCTTGGCCAAACTCCTAGAGCAAAGTGAGTAACTTTAGTGCAACAGTGGTTTTTGTCTGTATATTGACCTGAAGTCTCACCCATAAATACTAGATGGCTAAGAACACTTTATTTTGTGGATCCACAGTACTCAATATATATGCTGTTTAATTCCTTAAAATACATCATGCTAAGTAGTTGTGGAAATGGGTGGTTATATTTTAAGAAAACCAAACTGAGGTACAATGGTGTGGTATTTCAGTTATCTGATTAACACTAGACTCTTCAGTAATTAATATTTTTGTAAATACATGGGAGAATTTATTATAAGGGCTGTAGTGTTCTTTTTTGGCTTAGGGAATCTGGTGGTTTGTCTCCTTGTTCCAAAGTCTATGTTGACACTCACTTGTGCATAAATGTTTCATTGGAATGAGAGGAAAGAAGGAACAGACAAAAAATCAAAACAACGTCCGTAAACAGCACCAAAAAGGGAGCAATTTTCTTGGGGGGTGGAGATGGAATCTTTGGAATTTCCTTCCTAGATCTAATGCCAACAAAAAGCAACACATTTTAATCCTTGAATATCTCTGTTAAGTGCTGTTAAATTAGACATAAACAAAGCATTCCTCAAAACATTCTTTATGTAAAAAATTCACACTGAATTATATTCATACATTTCAAGTATTGTTTTCAATCTAAGGTGGATTTGTTTTTCATTATGTGTACTGTGCTGAGGAATGGGGAAAAAGCTATGCTGTGCCATGAGAATATTCCTGAAACCTTTCCAACAGTTTTTAGCTCTCTACTCCTTTTTAAATCTGACAGTTGTCCTGTCAGTTATGTTACCATTTCTTAACAAATAAACTGCCTTTATTAAAGGGGTGTGCTCTTTTGCACTCCTTGTACAGTTTCAACGTGATATTAAAAGCTCATAAAACGTATGCTGTCGGTTTGAGCTGTAGCTGCAAAGGGGAGGGGAGTGTGATGTAAAAGTTAGGAAAAGTTTGAAACGTTTTCTCCATTTCTAGATATGGCGTTATTCCATCCATTATGTGAGGTGGCTGTATGGCCTTTATGTAACACTCTTGCAGATCCAGCTTCATCCAACTTAAGCGTTCTGGACATCTTGTTCCTTTAAGTGTGGTTTTACATCTGCATTCTATCGATGCAGTGAATGATAATACAACTGGTGTGCACAATCGTACACATGCCAAGAATGGGGTGGGGGGTAGGTTAATGTGTAGTCTGATCCTTCTTCCACTCCACTGAGAGCTGCTCTTGGCACTTGAACAGCAGTCATTATTCACAGCAGCAATAAATGTGGCATGAATTCCTGGAATTCCTCAGGTAATTCAGGCTGTTCCAAAGAACAGGACAGACTCCCTCCCTTCCCCTAACCAAACAGCTCCTTTGTTTGCTTGTTGGGCTGAGCTTGTGGTACTGGCTTTGACTTTCTAGCTGTGCTGTTCTTCCCCTTTTGCGTTGGCCTCCTCTTAGGTTTGTGGTCCCTGAGGTTGGGGCATTTCAGAGGTATATACATGTGGATGGGGTGGGGGTGGGTTGCTGTGCTAGTTTCCTGTTACTTCCCCCTTTTAACATATCAGTTCTGGCTGATGCAACTGCTTTGGCAAATAATCCACCTACTCTCACCAAATGTTTGGATATATTCTCAACTTTTACTGGTTACCTGGTTAGGCCTAGTGCTGAAAGAGGAGACAGGCACCTGGCCCCCTGCATGTACCCACTAATTGTTAACGTGGTGTAAACAATGTAGTTTAACTGTGAAATCACCAGGAGGAATTGTATCATTACCCTGTTTCCAGCTCTATCAGCAAGCAACCACATCATAGTGAACTGAATCTAAACCATGCAGATTAGCAGCATTACCCAATGTAAATTCCTAATCGCATTGAAATGCTCTGCTGATCTGATGCAATTAATATGGTTCTCATAGTGTACATAACGTTGAAGATTGAGACATTATAAAATAATAGTTGAAACATTGAGGCTCATAGATCATTTAGGAAAGCCAAACTTTATTTTTAAAGGAAAATACTACTGCATGGTATATTTCCTAAGGGAAATGCAATTTGCTCCTTGAAAATTTAGCAAATTGTAAAGATATTGCTGACCTTGTTCAAGCATGAAATGCAATAGATGTTTGTTCAGAAAGTCAACACCATAAAAGGTTCAGAGGAAGTCTGCATTCCCTGGCACTGCTGGAATGTAGATTGTGTAATCAGCACACAGACAGAGGTGGGGGGGGTTAACAAATTTCTAACTGTTCCAGGGATTAGATATTTACCTTGACCTTTTCAAAAGAATAACTGCAACTGGAAATGAACAACTAATGTAGTTTCCTCGGAATAAGGAAAATAAATCGATTCCAGACAATTTTAAATGGATGAATTTTGTAGTTCATCTGTCCGTGGGATGTTCATGTGGTTTACCTACAGCTGTTTCACTGTGTTAATTGGGCAAATGCACAATTTAGTTTTGGGCCCACAAAATGGCTACAGTATCTGCGCTGAGGGCCTTCAGGTCTCCAGCTGTTAAACTGGTGGTGGTTTGTCCCAGCACGCTAGGCAGGCATGTTCCTCTAAGCGTTCAATGCTTTAGTCATGTTCTGTGGCTGAAGAGCAGGAAGCGAGACCAGCTTCCTTAGACGAAACGGCACCCAAGGGAACACCGCGTTTGTTGTTCCCCTGATGTGGATTGACTTGCTATCATCTCTAGTTTTATGTTGAATAGTTCCTCTCAGAACAAATACATGGGAGTAATAAACGTCCTCATGCTACTGCATAATGGAAATGGACGGGGGAATGGAATGGGTGACCTCATGCCGCTGCCCCTCCAGGTGAACGGCAGCAGCGGGACAAGGAACGCCTGGAGCGGGAGGTCTCGGCGCTCCGCGGCACCAGCGAGGACCAGCGGCGGCGGCTGGAGGCCCTGGACCAGGCCCTGAACAGCGCGCAGTCCAAGGCCGCCCAGCTGGAAGAGGAGCTGCGCAGGAAGAGGGCCTACGTGGAGAAGGTGGAGCGGCTGCAGCACGCCCTGTCCCAGCTGCAGGCCGCCTGTGAGAAACGGGAGAAGCTGGAGCAGAGGCTGCGCACCCGGCTGGAGCAGGAGCTGAAGATGCTGCGGGCGCAGCAGGTAGGATCTACCGTTCTGGATATGGAGTGGATTGATCATGACCAACCCGACAGCATCGTTGGAGATTTTACCTCAATCCGCTTCAGCTGACTTAGTGTTTTAAAGACTATGCCACCATAGATTTCTCCTAATATACACACACCCTAATCGCTAAAAACACAATAATTACACATCCTACTACAGGGCCTTGGAGTTTAGTTGTTTGTTAAAATGTACGACTGAAGGCCATTTCAGACAGCAGGCATGATAGCAGTTTCTTTATTTTAAAATTGGTGTCTCCATTTAAGAAGGAGAACAAGATGGCGATACCTGAGGGGGAGGAATTTAGTATCAAGCAAAATGTTTTTTCCCCCCTCCCCCAGCGGCAAACCCACGGCCCGGGTTCGGCCTCTCCCTCGGAGCTCAGCGCCTGCGCCCTGCTGGAGCGCCTGCGGGAGAAGGAGGAGCGCATCCTGGCGCTGGAGGCCGACATGACCAAGTGGGAGCAGAAGTACCTCGAGGAGAGCACCATGCGCCAGTTTGCCATGGACGCGGCTGCCACCGCGGCTGCACAGAGGTGAGGGGGGGCAGGAGGCCTGGGGAAAGCGTGCGTGGAACACCCTGGAGCAAATGGAGAAGTCGCCGTATCTCATCTTGTTGAGGCATGGCTCCTGAGCCGTTGAGTTCCTCTCCGAAAAGGACATGAATAGGTCATGGAACAGTACGGCACCTTTTAGATCTAAGCGATGGGGTTAAGATTTCCTTCGGCAGTTGGGAGTTGTTAGTGGTTGTTGACACAATGCTAGCATGCAGAAGCAGAGGAATGTACTTTTAACACCTCTCAGTAGCAACTTTGTCAGGAACTGTATTGCTCCTCAGTTTTATAACAGCCCTTCCTTCTGCAGGGACACTACCATCATCAACCATTCGCCCCGGCACTCCCCCAACAACAGTTTCAACGAGGACCTGCTGACTGCCAATCACCGACACCAGGAAATGGAGAACCGGTAAAGACCTAGGGTTTTAACTCTGCTATAGTAGCTTTACCCTGCATGAGCATTAGCCATATTTTAGTCACAATGTGAGGAAAGGTCTCCCCTAGATATGCTGGCTAAGATCGATTGGTTCTTCTAAACTGGCCCTTTGAAGTAGCAGCACATCCAGGGAGACTTCAGTCATGTGCCATCTTTTCTGCTTTGCACCCAATGCTTTCCCTCACCCGGACAAGTGTCTTGAAGGAGCTGAACGAGTGGGTATTTCTCTTCCCAGAATCCGTGCCCTGCATGCTCAGCTCCTGGAGAAGGATGCAGTGATCAAGGTCCTTCAGCATCGCTCCCGCAGGGACCCCAGCAAGGGGGAGCAGCAAGGCCTCCGTCCCGCCAAATCTGTGCCATCCATCACTGCAGCTGCCAGTGCCCACAGCTGGCACACGCCAAGCCGCCAACTTGTTGGCAACAAGGCGACGGACGCGGCGAGCAGAGACCCAATAGGTGAGCGTTTGACAGCTGACTTATCTTATTCTGGAGAACTGAAATAACTTTAGGAAGCAAAGCTGCATTTTTGTAATTATTTTGTAATTGTTAATTATTACTGGATAGCATTTGTTTGAAACCATTAATGACCTGCTTTTCCCTCTGTGTTGCAGTGAAAAGCCTCTCGGACGATCAGACGGTAGCAGTACGGTCAACCACCCACACTAAACACTGTAGCCAAGATGGCTGTACCCAGACGGAAAACATTTCACAAGAGTCACCTGCTACCTCTGAGCTTGCTGCCACTGAGGATTCCAGCACTGTTCCCGTCTCTGGTATGTACAGCATTTGGACTTGGACACAATCCACTTCAGGGTTAGCTGTCGCTTGCTCCCAATGCTTAAAACATTAAGGAAGGCAGTGGGACTAGTTTTTAGTTCTTGATTGTTCACTCTTTAAAGAAGCCTCTGTGCCATATGTATTTTACAAAGAGCAATTAATCCTCTTTTATTTTGAATATTTTGAGTGGATAACTGAAAGCTATTCCACAAACTGGACCACATTCTAAAAATGAACATTTTCATAATTTTGCGATGCACTGGGGTGTACTTTACAAGTACCACAGAAAGACCATAATCAAATTGGGACACTACAGAGCCATGAGATGCTGGAACCTGCATGAGTTGCATTTTGAATAACATTTGTGGTGAAAACCCAAAACCGATAGGCAGCCTCTGGTGTCGGATGTCAAATGTTTCTTTGGAAGACTCCGAAGTTCTGTTTGGATCTGTCTGGATCAGAGGTTCACTGACTAGTTGCAGTCTTGGAAAGGTTCCCCCATCTACAGCCATGGGCCTCAACAGACACCAGGAGAGTTTAATCTCCAGGAATTCCAGCTATGCAGAATAGATGAGATAGAAGCGTTAAGTAGTGTTTTTAGAGGACGAGATTGTTTTTTCCTTGTAAAGGTTTTTGCAATGCATTGGGCAGATGTACACACATCAAGAATGGTATAATGCTTTAGAATTCTAGTTCAGTGGTGGGTATGCAAATATCACAACAAGCACAAATCAGAGATCTACTTAAAACACTTAAGATTTTTGAGGAGCCATACTGTTGTGTAAATATTCCTCACGTTTGTTTCCTTTTTCCTCCTCCATTTTCAGATAACGTGGAACAACTGACACCCATTAATATGTACAAGAATTTGGATAATTTAGGTGTGGAAGTAGTTGAAATTCTTATCTAGAGAAGTGATTTTCTTCTGGGGGAAGGGTGAATAACATCTCCAGGAAGGAACCTCCTGCATTTTAACCAGAAAAAAGTTCTGCACTTCATGTGGAAAGAAGTTGCGAACGGATGCTCTGAAATGTGTGCCGCTCCTGGAAATGAAACAACTATGTACTTAACTACACAAAACACTTCAGTAGAAAAAAAGACGAGCTCCAGAAAGCAGGAAAAAGGACTGGTGTAGCACAGAAGAGGAGCTGAGCTTTCCTTGTGTGTTTACCTACGCTAAAAAGGACCTCTGCTTGATATACTATTTTTAATCTGCCTGGTGCAAGAGACACTGTGAATCTTTGAGGTACTTTGAACAGTATTTCATACAGTTGCAAAAAGCAGCTGACGGATTGTATAACTTGTAAATATTTTGAAAAAATATTTATAATTGCTGCTTGTATGTGTGTGCGCTGTGTGCTATCTTTGCAGTCTAGCTATTAAGTATCCCTGAATGTGTATTTTTATCTTGTTTCCTGTATGTATGTTTGTATGTAATTTATATATGTCACTTGTAAACTGTCAAACAAGCTATCTGTAGTGTTCAGGAATTTCACATCTCAAATATGTTTTAATGAAAACTTCCCCAAAAGCCCTTGTAACTGAAGTGCACTTGTTACTATCCTCCAGAAACCCTTACTTGGGTTGTGTCTCTGAGAGTGTGACCAGGCTCCATTTTGCATTTGCTCCCATTAAGCAGTAAGGCTCCTTTTTCTTCTGCCAATACACTTCATTCCAGACCTACAGCAACAAAGAGTTCCCATTCTTGGCAAGAGGTCAAATTTGAAGGTATAGAAGAGCAAGTCCCCTTTGATGGGTGGAAAGATATTTTTACTTGCTTTTATTGAAGACCAGCAAATAATGCTGTTTCTTCACATTGAACAGAAGGAACTCCTGTTTTTTTCAAAAAAGTTTTCTAGAACAAAGTTCTTGCTTTATCCTTGAAGGAGAAAAGAAGCTCGACTTACGGTGTTACGTGTTTGGCCATATTGTAATCTCGTTTCCAAGTCCTAAGAAATGCAGTAATAATAAAAAACCTGGATTTGGGTGTTTTTGTCTGGGGAATGCTCCTTAGATTAACATCAGAGTGTAGTCTCTGAAATGACTGGTTGCCTTTCACGAAACCCAATTGTTCAAATGCCAGGGGAAAAGTAGGTTATCATTTTCTGGTTTTAAGCAGCAACTGCCATGCATGCCTTTCCCTATTTCAGGCAAGCTGTGGCTAATCTTGTGAAATTCTTCCTCATTGGAATGTCTCAGGGGATAAAGGCTATCTATACTTTGACCCACTTTAAAGTTGTAAGCATTCTAACGAGCATTGATTTTTTTTTTACTTGCTCCCCCTAAGTAATGACCCCATTCTGGCCAGGGACCTCTTAAGATGAGAATTGCTATATGGCTACTCTAGTGACCCTAACCTGGTTTATAATGTGTAAGCAGCTGGAAACAAAGTTTACTACATAGAGAAAGTACTAGTAAATTCACTTGTGAAATACTTTATTTAAATAAGATTCTAGTGGTTACTAAAAAGTCCAAATGCATTTGATTTTATGTCTTCCAAATGCATCAGTTCTTTGCTTCCACAGGTTAAGGACATAGTCGAATAAGTGCAGATGGTCTTTGTACGACCTGAGCATTCTAAGTGGAAACGCAGTTTGGTCTTATCTCTAAGGGCCCTTTTGAACTGGATGGGAGAGATTGTGTGTTTTAAAATTTGGAAATCCCTTATTTTCTTATTTCCAACGCAATGCATTTGCTGGTCAGTGCTTTGTGTTGAAATTTCACATCTGCTTACTGTTTATTTTTGTTTTGGGCTTTGTTTACAAGAAAAGAAATACTATTGTGAACTAAGAGATCTTAATATATTTTGTATAAATGTATTTGTATTCTTTAAGTATTTAGTGCCATGAGCATAATGCCAAAGACAATTTGCATAATTAAGTTATAATAGAGAGAAAAAAGCAGCTTGGTTATCTGATGCAGACCAATTCTAGATGGTCTGCCCATACGTAGATGTTGCTGTGAACTTCTATTATGTGGGAGTTTTGTATTGAAATGTCAGACCCATTTCATTAATAAAATAAACATTAATATATGCATAAGCCTACATGATATTGTTTGATACTCTTTTATATACATGTATTGTACATTGGTCTTTGAAACAATAAATCTACATGTTTGGTTTTCAATAATCCATTGATTGAATGAAAAGGTGAACTTTATAAACAACTTAAACTTTATTACACCTCAACATATTTAAATGTCCTTGCGCTGGGTGTATAAGTGTCCCAAGACACCGTCTTAAACACTGCAATTTGCATGTTTAGTAGTTGAAAGGGGCTTAAAACTTTCCATCAACCCCATATTACTTGCATCTATTGGACACCAACATACTGTATCCCTACACCCTGAGCCTCTTCTGGTAGGACTACAGAAGCACTGGTCACCAAGCCCCTGCACTCTTGCCCTGGCCTCTCCTCTCGAAAACGAGCTCCATTTAAAAACTTGTTTTGCTTTCAGCGAGGAAACTGTAACCCAAGTACTTCTATGTGTGTGTGTTCTGTGCTATTCTAATCATTCCCAAAATGTGGGTTTTTTTTCTTTCGGAAACGGCCATCTGCTTTATGGTGGGTGGGCATCAAATGCATCACAACCCAGAGAAGAGCTTCAAGTAAGGTTTGGAGCTCCGCAGGAGGAATCTGTCAAGTTCAAAACCTTTCATTGTTGGAAAGAGCATTGACTTCAGGTTCTGTAAAGGTTAAAGTTTGTCATTTAATTTCCAATAATGATTGCCACCAAGCCACGGATACAAAATTTACTTGTGGACATTTAATTGGACTCATTTTACTTTGCATCCGTTTTGCTATCTAATGGCATTCATGGTGAACGTGAATTCTTTACATACCTGCAATAATCTACCACTCGCACGTGCCTAAAAAATCATACACATGCTTTTATTTTTGCTTTTTGTCTCGGGCTCTACAGGTGGTGCTGCTACATCCCTCTATCTTCTACCCTCTATATCCAATGCAGGGTTACAGGGGAGCTGTAGAACAATGGCCACAGGCACAAACAAACTCACACCAGAGCCAGTTTTCCCAGAAGCCAGTTGACCTACCAGTATGTCTTTGGACTGTGGGAGGGGACCAGAGCACCTGGAAGAAACTCACACTAAGCAGTCAGGACCCCAGGAATTGAATCCATGGCCACAGTACTGTGAAGCAGCAATGCTAGCCCCTGTGCCACTGTGACACTCAGTGCAACAACTGAAGTCAAAATGTTAATTGTGTTCTTTCTTTTAAAAATGCTCTTTTCATTTTATGTGGCATATGTGGTAATCAGCTGATCTCAATCATAGAAATCCATATTCATTCAATATGGAATAATCTGCTAGATGAATTAATCAGAAAAGAAGCCAGATCACCTGATTTTTTAGTCTTAAGCAATTCGCTAAATCAAAACCCCTTGGAAACTTTCAGAATTCCAGCTGCCGAACACTGAATTTGCTCATAAACTGGTCTGTGCTCATTCCTTGCAACTTCTCACTATGTGAAGCTGCTTTATGCTGTTCAATTATGGCATGTTCTTTATAACTTTCTTTAATTCAATGCAAGAAATCATCTTCACGATGTCTATTTAATAATCAAGGATGTAATGTAAGCATGGATCCAGATCTTGAGAGTACAGAAGATCAGTTTAAGACATTTAGGAAGAGAAAGGTTGCTTGTCCATACATTGATATGGATACCGAGACTATGGTGTTTCATTTTCCCATTACAGGAAGTTACTCTCAGGCAAACCTGAGTCTGTATTTACATTACCTTTAAGCTGGAATGTAGGGCATGCTGTGACTGTATGGTCTCCAATGGCTATCAGATTTCAAATAAACTTAGCATGAAGCCACAAGGGTGCTAAGGTCAGTTTGTGCTCTTCACAGAGTTATTGGAGGATTAGAGGAGAATGCATACCAGGGATTTTGCTCATATCCTTAAGGGGCAGGTACGACTGTAATGTGAACCATTTGAAAGGAGTGTCTTATTAACAATGAGCTTCATACCAAAGTAGTGGCTAGTGTTGCAGCACAATATTGTTTTGTTTTGGAGATAGGTTGATCTTAATGGCCATGATTGAAAATAAAAAATACATTCTGTACCAATAAAAAACCCCAAAAGGGCATTTAATTTACATACTGTATCTCAATAAAGTGGCACCGCTTCATAGAATTCAGTTCTGAGATACATGAGACACAGCATGCAATAAAGAGACATTCTTTTAATCCCTAAGACAAGACAAAAGACAAGACAAAATTCCAATGCAAGAACCTCACCATAATACAATATGTATTATTGTATATGCTTCACATTGGGCCTAACAACGCCTTTTAACTGTGACTATTTCCATGATATGGCGTGACCTCTCGTGCCTTATTGCTTAATTCACATATTATCTCTCAGTCATTTAAAAGGGTGTTCTGCTTTCATTAAAATTAAGATCTTAAAAGAACTACTATTGCCCACACAGGCACACAATTTAATGAATTCTGTCCTTGAAATTAATTGGGTTATATGAAAACCTGCTTTTCATTAGACTCAGGTGTCAATAATCTTGCTGCACCTGTTGCAGTGCTTATCCCTTCATTATACTCTTACATAACTAAGGCAAGGGTAGCATAGTGACACAGTGGTCAACATTGCTTCCCCACGGTGCTGGGGTCCTGGGTTCAATTGCTGGGGTGCTGTCTCCATGACATTTTTATCTTCTCCCTATTTTTGTTTAGGTTTCTCCGTTTTCCTCCCATAGTCCAAAGACATGCTGGTAGTTTAATTAGCTTCTGTAAAAATTGTTCGTACTCTGTTTTTTTGCTTGTGTCTGTGTGTGCCCTGTGATCGACTAGCATCTTGTCCAGAGTATGGAGGGTGAGATTAAGACATAGGAATAACAGGGCTACTTGTTCATACATTGAAATGTATAGCTAGACCATTGCAGGAAAATACACTCTGGCACCTGTGAATCTGTATTCACTATACCTTAAAGCTGGAATGTGGGCTATCCCAGGTGTATCCTACCCTGCACCCATTGCTTGCTGGGATAGGCTACAGCTCTCCCATGACCCTGTATTGGATAAAGTGGTGAGAACTGGACAGATGACCACTGAGGAATATAGTGAGATCAAATAATTTGCAAAACTTACAAATTGTGAGTAATCCAAGGTGTTATTGGATGGAAGAATTTAGTTTCACCTGTTTTAGTATTATGCAAGTTTGGCAAGACCTCAGCCTATTGAAGACAATAGGCATTCCCTGTTAAAACCCTTTGCTGTAGGTTGGTGGATTAGAAGAATAGGACTGTCTATATTCCTCCAAGTACTGCCAGTCTCCAGTCAAGTACTGCACACCCCTATGTTTTCCTTCTCTTGATTGGACCCTGTTGTTGATCATTTCCACTGTAATGTAACCTAAATACATAGGATGCTCTTTGTTTATAATATTTTTATTCTGATCATCATGAGTCTCCTTTGTGGTTTCAAAATGGTGTGAAAAGAGTTTGCATTTATGTGCATTTTAATATAGCACATGTATGTATGCAGTAAATATAGCACAAGGCCAAACTTAGAGCTAAATATGCGGTTTATTTCTGATTGCAGTTGTGCTTAAACATAGAACTTACATTCTTGCAAAGTTATTTTTTCTTGGGTTTGTGAACGCTCCTTTTAAAAAACAAGTTGGATCTATTTGATTTACATTCCTTTGATTTATAGAAAGACAGATGTGCAATAGATTTATTTGTCCCCCAGCTTTTTGTAAAAATGTCCCTAGACTAAATGGATCTGTATGAAAGGATTGTAATGACCTCCAAAGAAAAGCTACATTCATAAACTACTGTTGCTTGGCTTTAGTGTTTACTATTTTATAAGATCCACAAGGAAGCTAAGGGCCTATATCTGACACATTTCAGTTTTTAACTACACTGCACTACTACCATTTCTTTTGGTTTCCTGTAATGTTTGTTATGTTTGTGGTTTCAGACTAGTGTAGTTGAAATGTGTGGTATGGGCTTGTCACTGACAATGGCATTTCTTTTTAATTTGTGGCCAGAATAAAGTATTTCTGGTCAAATGTTATAAAAATCTTCATAGAACAAAGGGCCTTGGTTTGCAATTAATCCTTGTAGAGCTTTACTGATGAACAGAGGGCGATCTTTACTATTAATTAACTTACGAACAATATAAACATTGTATAAGAGCTCTTTGTTCCAGGAATTGCACAATCCCCATGACTTTATGACATTGATAAGATTGTCATTGAAAACAGCACCATAAGTTTTATAGCTAGACATAGAAAAGGGCTGTGTATGGGGAATGTTCAAGGAACTAATGGTATAGATAGATCTCTTTGTTATATACTTAAAATGGTGAAGCATTCAAATGACCTGGGAAAGAATTTAATTTCGGCTAAACATATACACAATAAGTATGTATGCTATTTTCACAGCCATTCGAGAAGTAGTATATAAATCACCAACAGGTTAAATTATAGTTATGAAGTTTTAAAAGGGTTGTATTTCCATTTAAATAATTTCATGTAATCTAGCAATATCCATACCCAAAATGTAGATATTAGCTTTTCTGTCTGGTGAAATTCTGTCACTTCTGTCAGAGGACTTGGAGGATGACGTTTATAGACTATTAACAAATTTCCATCCATAGTGTCTCAAGACAGAGGTACTGTACAAGCCATTTACTGAGAAATTGCGAATGTAGCACCCATGCACAAATAAAGTGACAAAAACAAACCAAGCAATTATAGACCGTTTGACTGGATTACATGTAAAGCTAATGGAGGCAATAATTAAACTAGATCATGTGCAAGGAAATAGGTTTTTAGGAGGTCATGAACATGGATTTAGAAAAGGTAAACCTTGCTTCACTTGTTCTTTGTTGAGGTATTTGAATAGACAAAATACATTTAGAATTTTAGAAGACTTTTGATAAAGATCCACATACAGTATTTAGTCTTAATTAGAAGTGGTAGGCGTAAAATATAATGCATTACTGGGACTGAGAAATAGTTAGAGGATAAAAAATATCAGTTAAAAGGTAAAT